AAAGCCTGGTTTGGAAAGAGTTTTAGGCTTTTTTGGCTTTTTCGTGAGAAAAAGAATGTAATGATTATGGGTTAGATGTGATGTTTTGTCTTATTAAGCTAAAAAACCTATTTTGTTTTTTGTGGCTAAAATAGCCAAAAAAGCCCCAACTTTTTCTTCCCAAACGAAGCCTTAACAAATTACTGGGTTGGGTAGGGTAGACTGGTAGTGTAGGCAATTCAAAACATAAACCTCGTTCAGAATTCTGTTGGATCTTGGCAAATTGCTGGGTTGGGTAAGGCAGATTGGTAGTACGAGCAATTCAAAGCAGAAAAATGTTTTATAGTTCTAATTCTTAAGTTCTAAAACCAGTTCTAATGAGTTGGTAATGGGTCTTATCCACTACTGATGTAATGTATGTTCCTTGTTTTTTTTCTAGTTTTTATTTTTTTACTCCATGCCAACTCATTAGAGCTGCTGTTAGAGCAATTCTTTTAGAGCTCCAAATCACAACTGATTCAAAGCATAAACCTCATTCAAATGGACTGGGGTGGGGTGGGGTGGGGTGGGGTGGGGTTAATATTTTTTTAAAAGGATCAAATGTTATTTTTTATGCACTCGTTTGGCATATTGGTTAGGTTGGTTTTTTGGTTAAAATAGTCATAAAAAGATAAAATAGATTAAAAAATCAATAAGATAAAATGTCACATCTAAACTATGATCATTTCATTTTTTTCTCTCACAAAAGTCGAAAAACTCATCACAAACAAGACTTTTTAATCCTAGATTAAATAGACAAAAAAAAAAAAACAAACAAACAAACACACAAAAAGTCAAAAAGTTAATACACATTCTAAACGAACACTATATATATTTGAAGAATACTTAAAAATAATAAGGAAAATGTTAAGGATGCCAAATGTTTTACCAACATTTCTGTAAAATGTCTCACATAAGTGGCTCATATGAGATATTTGATAGAAATATTGATAAAATATTTAAAATCCCTAACATTATTCAAATAATAAAGGTGAAATATTAATTTGGTAAAGTTTGAGAGGTTGTGGGCCCTAATAGGCCCCACATTTGTGTGAGTTAACTTGTACATCATCTCCAATGTTTTTTCAGCACTCGTTTGGCATAAAAAGTTTGGATTAAAATAGTTATAAAAAGATAAACGGCAGTGCTGGGGATCCCCAGTGGAGGGTGACCCCCAGCACCCCCACCTCCACGTGGGGGGCTGTGAGACCAAGGCCAAAAATAAAAAATAAAAAATTTGGGCCAATCAAAAAACAATAGGGGTGGTGGGGGTCACTCCCACTGGGGGTCTTAGTCTTTTTCCAAAGATAAAATAAGTTAAAAAGTTAATAAGATAAAATGTTACATTCAAACCATAATCATTTTATTTTTTCTCTCACAAAAGTTCAAAAAGTCAAAAAAATTCATCCTAAGGTGGTGTTTGGCAAGTGGGTTGGGGCTAAAATAGCCACAAAAGACAAAACAGGCTATTTTAGCCACAACAAACAAAACATCACATCCAACCCATAATCATTACACTCTTCTCTCACAAAAAAAAGCCAAAAAGCCAAAAAGTCAAAAAGCCCTTCCCAAACCAAGCTTTTTAGCCCAGGCTAAAAAAGCCAAAAAGCCAAAAAGCCAACCCACTTCCCAAACGGAGGCTAAATGAGATTTTTTAGCCCCAGGTTAAATAACTAAAAAGTCAAAAAATTAACCCACATCCCAAACGAACCCTCAAATTTTTCATCAAATTTTACTTAAATTTGATGAAAAAGCTTAATCTAATATAGATCATTCCAACAAAATAATTTGGAATTTTGTCAAACCATTGGTCGACTGGGAGGACGATCAAGGGGATGACCGGCCAATCAACCCGTGAGTATAAATTTTTCAAAAAAAATTGCAAGGCGATAGTTGATCAGGGAGACAATCAGGAGGACATCCGACTAGTCGTCCGGAGCTTAAAAGTTAACGGTTCCTTACAGTAATTTGGTGAAAGATTCTGACATCCTCAACTTGATGAAAAATTTGCAATATTCTCAATTTGATGAAACAAAAGATGAAGCGTTGGAGCATTGGTTTTGTACGATTTTTCATTAAACTTAAATTTGATGAAATAAAAGATGAAAGATTAGAAACGGTCTAAGTAATGGTGTCAACAATTGCAATTGGAATTGGGGTTGGGGTTGGGGTTGAGGTTGAGGTTGGGGTCGGGGTTGGGCTCCATAGCGGTGGGAAATGGACCTAGGCCTCCCATAGTAAGGAAAAATGTTCATTCGGGATGTGGGTTAGTTTTTTGACTTTTTAGGGAATAACTATTTTAGTCAAAAAGTCACTATAAGTTATCACATCACTCTCTATTTTTTTGCACATCTTTTCATAAAAATTCAAAAAATTACTAAAATAGTTTATTCCCAAACGAGGCCTTAGCTTGGTCTAAAAAACCTCGTTTGAGATGGATTGTTTGGCTTTTTTGATTTTTGTGAGAGAAAAAATAAAATAATTATGATTTAGATGTGACATTTTGTCTTATTAATTTTTTAGTTTATTTTATTATTTTGTGACTATTTTAACCCAAGATTGGAATGCCAAACGAAGGCTAATAAGGGATGCTGAGTTTAGGTGGGCTTGAGCCACACCAGAGGTGATGGTCATGCTTAATTTGGTTTTTAAAAATGTGTTTCAGAATTTTTTTTAAATTAAAAATTAATTTATTGTAAGAAATAAAAGTATTAAGAAAAATATTATTTTTATATAATTTTATCTTTCAAGAGATTATAAACAATTTTTTAAAATTTTGAAATATTTTTTTTGATATTTAATTTTATAAAATTAGTTTCTATTTTTTTTTAAAAATTAGTAATTTTTTTCTCATAAACAAACCAAACAAGCCTGATATCTTAATTTTCTTCACACTCTTCTCTCTTTAAACAGTTTTTTTCTTTTAATTTCTTTTTCTTGGTTTGATTTAGATAAAATTTGATTAATCAAAAAAGATGTTAATAGCAATTTTATCATTGCATTTAACAGTGTTAATTGATAAATTTTTATTTTATTATCTTAGTTTGATTTAGATAAAATTTGATTAATCAAGAAAGATGTCACAATTATTTTACTTCTTTTTAAAAAATAATAATAAATAAATAAATAACTGAAATTTACCATTATGGTTAACTGTGTTAATTGATGGGAGTTGTCAGTGTAATTTCACAGAATAAAATTATTCAATCAAATTATTATTTTTTTGGTTATAATAAGTGACTCAAGGATATTGGTTAATAAACTTAAAATGATTTTACACTACATGAAACTTACATTTTTATAAAACACATGTATACATATTGTCCGGTGATTTTTTATTTATTTATTTATTTTTAAGTTGTAGGTACGATTAATAAGTGTATTAATAAAATTCTTTAACAAGATATAATGTAATGTAGCGGGGGAGAGAGGAAGGGGTTGGTGTGTGGGCATTCGTTAAGAGTCCATTTATATGTAAGCAGATTCACAACTTAAGCATGTTATTAAATGGGCAAAATATTAAATGGGCAAATTACTTTAAAGTTCTATTTAAAAGAGAAAAAATCTATTTAGTTCCATAATAATTTGAATATATTTAAAAGTTTACTGCTTATTTTTCTTTTTCATCATTCTTTGTGCATTTATTCTTCTGTCCCTTTCTCTTCTTTTTCGGCAACTAGCAATTACGTCTTACTTCTTTTCTTTCTCTTTCTATTTCTGACATATAGTCACTGGTAAGTAACGACCATCATTAATTGAAGTTCACCGGCAACCACCAACTATCGATTCCTTACTTCACTCTTACCGATGGTGAAAGAAACAAGTTTCTGGCGAAAAAGATGCATAGATCTACTCAAATCTTATGTAAATATACTCAGATCTACATCAAATCTAAATAGATTTACATGAGAACGAATTAGATCTAAACTAAAAATAATTGTCGGAGTACAATCTTCTCTATATATCTGTTTCTCTTTTGATCTCTTAATTTTTTCACATTTTCTCTATCACACACTTCTATTTTCCAGTGATGTTGAACATTCCAATAAGTCTCTAGTAACCGTCTGATGAAAGTCCAATGGTGGTGGAATGTAACAGCATTTTTAAATTTATATATATAAAAAAAAGAGATTTTTTAGTAACAATTAAAAATATATAAGATTAATTGGTGCAAGTGTTTTGTTTTGGAAAAATGCTAGAGATTCCAAATGTTTCATCAAATGTCTCACACGGGTGTGAGACTCACTCCAAGTGAGTCCTATGTGGATCTCACACAAATATCAGACATTTGATAGAATATTTAGGGCCTCTAACATTACTCTTTGTTTTGGGATTAGATGTATTTTTAACTTTGTGTATGGCACTTACTAGTAAATGCCCCTTATTAAAAAGGAAGAGATCCCTTTCAGTCCAAATGTTGGATTGAAGGGTGTTGTTTGGATCTGTTAGAGTTATTACGGTTTTCCATTTCGATAATTCAAACCGTTTATTATGTTAAACACTTTGTGTATTTTATTAAAAAAAATTAAGTCGATCTGATAACTATAACTTATTCAATTTATTATATTTGTCATTAAAAAAATATGATTTATTTTTAAAATTACAATCGTTATCTATTTTTTTAATAAAAAATTAATAAAATTATGATTATCGAATTAACTTAATTTTTTTTATATATAAAATATCTAATAAAATAAAAAAATTTAAATTATGAAAATAAAATCCGTATTTAGCCCACCGACCCAAACAACACGACTGGAGGTGGTCTTCCTCCTATTAAAAACTCTTGCCACCGTTTCATCTTTTTAATATTTAATAATAATAATAATAATAAACGTTGTTAATGAAAAAAATGAAAATTGAATGATAAAAGCAAATACAATACCTGTCTTAAAAATAAAAAATAAGTAAATAAAAAGCAAATAGTAGAATAATGTGACCGCCATATAAATTGCTTTCAATCCATTTGTGTTGCTGGTCTTTCCTTCTTTCTACCCTCTGCCTCTCGTTTACGCACCGCACAAATACACACTCGCACACACCACCTTACTCTCTCTCTCTCTCTCTCTGTTTCTTCTTCTTCTTCTTCTTCTTTCTCTCTTTGTTTCTATGTAGATGTATACAGAGTCATATATCATCAATATTTGCACGGAAGATTATTCGAAGTTTAAAACAGGTACGATTTTGTGCCCATTTTTATTTTGTCCTGTTTTTCAATATGGCGGCGGCATATGTTGAAGCTCCTCTACTTTGTTTTTATTTTTTGTTGTGTGTGGTTTTTATGGGTTGGTTTGCTTGTGAATCTGTAATCAAGGTATACTAATGTGGGTTCACTTGTCATAAAATTGCAATTTGAATTAGGGTTTCATCCATTTGATGTGAGCTGAAGGGTCTCTCTCGCTACCTTTTATCAACGGCAGAACATCGCACCACCATCAAGGGGGGGTTCCTTCTTCTTATAGCACAAAGAAAGTCATGGTATTTATATTTGTATATATCCGTATCCATACCTTTTTTTTTTTTTGGACTACTTTATTGTTTATTTATTTCGTTAGTTTCCATTTTTTCTGGCATTTCTTGATCGGGGTGGTATTAAATTAATAATATCAAATCTGTGTAAATGTGTAATCATCTTTGTTCGTTTCTGTTTTGTATATTGTGTGTGTGTGTGTGTGTGTGGTGTTTGGTGTTCATTTATAGAGTAATAATTTTGGTATTATTGAAATAATAAAAGGTGAGTCCAATTGTTCGAATGGGGAACGATGATGATATGGGTCCACCATGGTTGAAACCAATGCTCAGAGGCAGCTATTTCATTCCCTGTGCAGTTCATGGGGATTCCAATAAAAGCGAATGCAACCTCTTTTGCTTGGATTGCATGGGCAATGCTCTCTGCTCTTACTGTTTGATCCACCACAAAGATCATTCTGTCCTTCAGGTCTCCAATTTTCTTCTAAATTGTTGTTGTTGTTGTTTTGACTGCTGCAATGCAATGCAATGCAATGCAATGCAACGCAACTTAATAATATTTTCTAGACTACTATATATGCATTACTCTGTAACTGAGTGAGACTAACTGGGTTGGGCTGGGTTGTGTGTTGGTAACGTACGTTGCAGATAAGGCGGTCGTCATACCATAATGTGGTGAGGGTTAATGAGATTCAGAGGTACATCGACATTTCTTGCGTGCAGACGTACATTATCAATAGCGCCAAGATTGTGTTCTTGAATGAGAGGCCACAGCCAAGGCCTGGAAAGGGAGTCACCAACACTTGTGAGATTTGTGGTCGAAGCCTCCTTGACTCCTTCAGGTTCTGTTCTCTTGGTTGCAAGGTGAATCAATCAATTCTTCTTCTTCTTCTTCTTCTTCTTCTTCTTCTGTTCTCTTCAGGTTCTGTTCTCTTGGTTGCAAGGTGAATCAATCAATTCTTCTTCTTTTAAATTTTTTGGGGGTATTCATTCATTGACTTCTCTAAGTTTTCGTTGTCTTTTTGCCGTTACAAATTTTAGTAGTTTCTTCTTTCTATTTAAGTATGATGCCTGTTCTTCCGATGCTTTATTGAATACAGTGATGACTGTAATCAGGGTCATTCAATAAGCCTTTACAACTAAAATTCTGTGTCCCCATTCTTGGTTTAATCTGTTGGACGCAGGTTTATGGTTTTCTAGCCTATCACATCCTTTTTATATACAGAATTCTTGTTACAATTACACTACACACCCACCCACCCAGAATAGTATGGACCACAATCATTCTTATTGTGGTCCACCTCTCCCTAAACTGAAATTTACACCATACATCATTTTCGGAATAAAATATCGTACTCAGCATTTTTCTTCTTCTTCACCTATTTATTTTCACTTTCAGTGGAAATTAAAGTTGATCATTTTGCTTGATAATTGCAAATTTGTCAATTGACACATCTTTCTTTATTGGTTCTCCGTGTAATTATAAATTGTTTTAGTTATAAAACTGGCCTCGTTTTTGTGTTTTGTTATTTCCGTTACATTCCTTTCTTTATTGATGATTGCCATTGTTACTTTCTCTGTTTTAGTCTTTGTATTTTTTTTTTTTTTTTTTTTTTGGGTTGAGCGTTTGATGAACCCTGGTTGATAGTTGTCAAACTGCCACAGACACATCTTACTTTATCGTTTTCTTTGTAATTTTCATTTTTTTTTAATAAAAAAATTTGTTTTTCTTGTGTAATGTTCTTTCCGTTTTATTGCTTTTTTTTTTTTTTTATTGATGATTGCTATTATCACCTTCTCTGTTTCCCTTGTTTTCCCCTTCAATTTTGGTCTTTTTTTTTTCGGTCGGTCGGTTGGTTGGTTGGTTGATTGAGAGTTTGATCATCCTTGTGTGGCCTTTCTTCTGTGTGTTTGTTACAGCTTGGAGGTATGAAGCGGGGCGATCCAGAGCTGACATTCACCCTAAGGCTGAAGCACAATCAAAATCGGGAAGCATTCCGTGGGTTTGAATCAGATGAGTCGTCAACCCCAACCAAGATCCGCAAAATGCATGCTTTCAATCGGTTGATCGAATGCCCTACAATTTCGTCTAATGATGGCCACAATGACGGTGGTGGTGGTGACAAGTCATCATACTCGATTTCTGGAGACGAGGCTATGAACTACATCTATCCGGCCACTCCACCAATCTTTAACCATCGGAATTCCAGGAGGAGAAAGGGTGTCCCTCACCGTGCACCATTTTGATCAAACAATCTGGAATATCTGGATTCAGTATACAAAATCCTCAAAAAATAGGGAAGTCATAAACAAAGGTACAACAAGTACAGCAGGTTTGATATAATGTTTGATGCTTTTAGCTATAGAAATTAGTCACAATGAATACATGTGAAAAAGAAGAAGGAAAAAAATCCTATAAAAAGAAAATATAGATAAATTAGATAGAAGAACAATGGACAAAAGTAAAATGTGGGAAGGAATGCTAGCTAGCTAGTGTTAATATCTTTTTCCAAAATAGCTTGGGGCGTGGGGTTTTTTCTTAATTAATTAGTAGCTAGTTTTTACAAGAAAGGGTGGTTTCTTAATCTTTTTCGTTTGGTAAATTATTATTTTCTATTTTGTACAGTTTTAGAGATTATAATGGGATGTAAATGGGTGTATGCAAGTATAGATTAGGAGTCCTCGAGCAAAAATAAAATCAATCTATAGCCCAAAAAAAAAAAAAAAAAAAATGTACAGACCATGAGTCATGAGATTGTACAGATCATGAGTCTGGAAAGCTAGCATGCAATATTAATGTAATAGTAGTAGTTGCCGTAGTGACGTTATTATATGTAAAGGATTTGTATATTTGTTCATATATATTCAATATATAGATGGTGTTTGTAAAGTTTTATCTTTGTTCTATTTGCTATCAATTTTTTTTTTTTAACAAAAGTAAGTGCTGTTACAAAAGGAAAAAGAAAAAATACATATGGTGTAGCACACAGCCCAAAGGGGCCACACAGATTATAATGTGGGATGTATGTTTTATTGTTATTTTTTTATTTGGAAAATGTTAACCATTTTTCATCTCTCATATTTCATTAGTTGAAAGACGAGTTGATATCTATAATATATAATAAAAGAAGTGTATAAATATATATAAAATATTATTAAAATTTGATGATTATTATTATTGTTATTTGTTGTTGTTAGCAGAATTTTTTAATTTAAACAGTTTTAGTTACCCAAAAGAAAAAAAAAATGAAATATGAGTTCTGTGAGTGTGTTTGAAGTTTGGTTTATGGGCCATTGTTTAATTATCTCAGGTTGTGGTTTGTAATGGTGTCCCCAACACAACATCTGGCATTTTGTTTTGTTTAAAAAAATCATTGGGGGCAAGTTGCGAGTTAATGGAATTTTAGAGAATTTAAAAATATAAAAATAAGCTTGGTTTTTCATTAGATTATCAGTCAAATCGAGAGAGAGAGAGAGAGAGAGAGAGAAAAAAAAAAGAACGTCAAGATCAGGGAGGTCGTGGTCATGGAAAAGCTTGAGGGACAAGTAAACCACCTTGGACAATGACAGTAACAATAACAATAACTAGTGTTTGTGTATGCGATTGACAGAGCCGTGAGGAATCTGAATGGCTGCTCCATCTCAACCTCCTCCCGCTAAATATATCCAATTGAGCCAATAATTCCAGTTTCCAGTGACTCGGGTCATATTAATTCTTAATTTTTTAATTGTAATATATTTGATTTTAATTTTTAAATTTTATTTTAAATAAAGAAAATTGAATATACCATTACATAATTTTAAAGGTAAAATCGTCAATTTAATCAAATATAAATTAATTTAATAAAAATAAATGTCAAAATAATATTTTTGAATTTTTAAAAATAATTTTTACTCACTAAAGATAAAATTATGTAAAATCGAAGACATTTATTTATTTATTTTTATACCAAATTAATTTTTATTATATGTTTAGATGATAATCATGCAATGGGTGGTTGTTAGACTTTAAATAAATAAATAAATAAGTGTCTAAAAGATTTATTAATTTTACATAATTTTATCTTTAGTGGGTAGAAATAATTTTTAAAAATTCAAAAATATTTTTTTGGTACTTATTTTTGTCAAATTAGTTTATATTTTATCAAATTGACAACTTTACTCTTAAAATTGAACAATGATATATTCAATTATTTTTATTTAGAAAAAGATTCAAAATTTAAGATCAAATGTGTCATAATTGAAAATTGAAAATCAATGACCAAAAGTAATACAAAGCCCAAACTATAGAAACCGTTAGTGTAATTCACTTTATCTAATTAAATTGTAAGAAAATTCTAACCTTATTTTTAGAAAATAAACACTTGATGGAGAAGATTCAACCACAGTGCTACCTGACGGTTAATATTTTTTTTCAGCAAGAAATGTTTAACAAATGTATTTGTTTTGGTGCAAGTATTAATTGTAAAGTTGCATAATTAAAATTTTCATAAAAAGAAAAATCCATTAAAACTGCAGTTGTTTTCGTCAAATCTTAATTTTATTTGTTTGTTATTTTTTCGCAATTCCTTGAGTGGAGGGATTGTTGTTGCATCTTTAAAAAGGAAAAATTGTTATTTATTATTGTTGTTATTGTTACATACATTATATATTAAAAATAATATACAAAATTATTTTTTAGATTTACTTTTTAAATTTAATAATATGTCAAGAATATTTTTTTAACACATTATTAAATCTCAAATGTAAGTCTAATTTTTAAATTTAAATAATACTACTCGTTATATATATGTACCAGGTGTTGTCCTTGTTGTGTCGCTCTAGTCTTAGGGCGGTAGTGCCACGTTTTATTAAAGTCCTTACCTTCTTTCATCCACTTCTAACACGTGTGTACTTGTTTTTGTGGTATTCCAACGGAGACGACTCTAATTTTATCCCTTCCTTCCCTCGTTGGGGAGAGAGAGAGGGGTACACACTATAGAGAGATAGAGATAGGAAGAGTTGGTTTGTTGTTTGGAAGAGATATATTATTGTTATTATGTATAGTGATAGTGCGGTGGTGTATATATTTATCGAGAAGGTTAGAAATTTAAAAAAAAATTATTAAATTTTTTATCAAATATTTTATATAGACGTAGGATAGGATTCTCACACATTCATATAACACATACATATAAGAACTTTAAGTAAAAATTTAGGCCAAGTTTGGCATACTCCAAAAAAATCTAAAAAGTCAAAAAGTCAAAAAGTCACTATCCTATTTAAATCACATCATCTTATTTAAGTCACATCACCTCTCTAACACATCACTTCAAACCCAACTCAAATCCAACCCATATTTTATAAAAAGTTAAAAAATGCACTTATTTAGTCTTTCCAAACTTGGCCTTAATAAAACTAGTCAATCACTGTGGATAGTGGAGGGTGTTTTATTCCCCTCTTTTTTATCTTTTTTTTTATATACTAATAAATTTTTGTGATGTCGCTTTCATCATATATATATATATATTATATATATATATATATATGTAACTGATTGATAAGTTGTTGATAAGGCTCCGATTGTGGATCATGACATCATCCCTGTCGTCATTTTACTTTTTTAAGATCAATTTTTTCATCCAAAAAATAAAAATAAATAAAAAGAAAAAAGAGTAGAAAAAACAAAACTAAAACGTATGTGTTTGTACGCGGAGCAAATATTCGTCACTTCGTACTCCTCGTATCCAAGCTCCGCTTCCTTACGAGTGACCTGAGAACACAAAGATAATGTGCTACCCGAAGCATGCAGTCGGAAAACCCTTTCGACGGTCAAATTAGCACACTTATGCTGTGTTTGATTGGGGGATTTGAGGAGGGATTTGGAAAGGGAAAGGGAAAAGGTGTATGAAACTAGGTAAAATTTAGGCATGTTTTATTCACATTTCACCTACCTATTTCATTTTCCTTTCCAAATCCCTCCTCAAATCCCCCAACCAAACACAGCATTAGAGAGAGGAAAAGAGAAAGAGACAAAGGGGTAGGTAACTCTGATAACCAGTTGTTCCAAACCTGTGCATGGAGGTACAGCACCGTTTATATAGTTTCTGCGTGTTTCTCTCTATCTGTCTTCCTCCTCACGCGTGGATATGTTCCCCTCTCACCTTCTTCCACGTGTAAGTGCAAATATTGCCAAACACCAAATGGCCAAACCACTTAACAGTATTGACGCATATAGATGGCGGAATCACCTTCCTGTAATCCAAATACGCCTCATAATGCCTCTTACCAAGCTATGCCAAGCACGGCGCCCCGGTATTTTCTCAGGGCCGTACAACCCGCCCGGTCTCGTCGGACAAACCTGTGCGCGGGCTCAACCGAGCTTTATAGTCCGTAACGAGCTTTTGCTCGATTAATCCTAGTCTTTTAAGGATGAATTCCGTCCAACTTAGCGAAACGAACATCTCTCAACCGAGCTAGGGCCTTGTCCTTTACTTAATCGGGCTAAGACCTCAGTCCATTACGTATCCAATATCTGACAGTGCTCAACCCCCAATCGATCATGGGCTTCGTTTTGTCCGAGCAAAGACTTCGACTGAGGCCCAAACCAGCTCGGCCCATATCAGGTCATAAATCTCCCTCTCAATTTCCCCTTAATTCCGTCCGCGCTAGCGGGATCAGGATTATATTCGTTGGCTAAGCTCATTCTTTACTCAGTCTTCATCTGCCCGGTTGAGCATTCGATCACTCACGCTCCCAAATCAGTTCACTATCTCCAACCGTGCTAGCCTCTCTACTCGGCTTTACAGCTTGTCCGATTGGCGCTTTGTCTGCTCAGTGTGTCTTTTCGAGATTGACACCGGTCTTATCATGGACACGTGTCCTTCATCCATTAGCTTCATACAGCCAACCTAGCTGTCCCACACCGTCTCCTTAGATTCAAACTTTGGCGCCTCTTCCACTTTCATACATATATCTCATGCTTTTTCACGTCTCTTCCTTCACTGTTCATCTTCTTCTCCGACGTGAATCCGACGAGACAGAGCACTCAAGTTATGTTCCCTGCATTTGGCGTTTAGACTAGAATATTCGTCACATAAGCTTGCTCTTACCGTTGCCTCTGGAACACCTTCTCCCGATTGGAACATTGATAGCAGCTTTGATATGATAAGTTTTGCAAAACTCCTAGTGTCCTTCGCTTGTTCTCCGCATTCTTTTTTGTTTTTTTGGGCATAAGCCTTTACATCTGTATTAAGAGTACAATAATAGTAGCCAAACATCACTAAAAACTCGATTAGGCTAGTGTTTTGCCCATTTTTGATGTCGAAAACTCTTGTACCCCTAGTTTTCCACACTATTCATCATCTACTGTGATGAACAGGTGAGGATCTGGGCCTGGCTGGGCTTAAAGTGTCTTTTTGATCTAAAAACACAAGTCGATCGGGCAAATTTGTTGTTTATTGAGTTGGAGTGAAAAATCGGGCAACCAGGTATACGAGGTCGTGTGACCGGGCTAATATCTGGCATGCTCGTACGACTGAACTAGGATCTGTCAGACCATATATAGACCGAGCTACAAATCACGCTCGAAGTGACCATGCTAAAATCAAGTTCTTATGGGCGACCGTGCTACCACTTACACTTGGTTTTTAACTGCAGAATCCTAAGAGACCAGGCACATCAACACCAAGGCTCTCAAAGACCGAACTACCACTGTACACAACTTTGCCGACTCAATACAGTCATGCTAACTAAACCGGTCTCCTATGGGGCGCTATCACTTCCTTGTTAACACGCCGGGTGCACTGGCTGCGTTCGAGAGGAGTATGGCGTCCCATCCGACGTGCACTTAGAGCTCGGTAAAGAGGGCATAAACCTGTGGAGTAGATTAGAGTCTTGCCCCTTCACCGT